TGATTAGCATGGAAATTATTTCCTAGAAAAGAATATGTTTTCCTTGTTTTGAGGAAAACAAAAACCTACCTCTCCATAAAGAATATGTTTTCCTCAAAAATAAGGAAAACTAGGCATATTTTCAAAGGTTAGAAAATACTTTTGAGGGAAAAAATTGTTCCATGGAAGATTTTTCAATCAAACACACCGTAAGTTCTAAATGATAAGTAAGAGGAGTAATGGAAATGATTTGGATCTATGGCGATTGTACCATTACTAATTACTATATATAGAGAGAAAATTGGTTTGTTTTATTTGTGGTTGTGTTCATGATGAGAAAATTGGTGTGTTTTATACGTGGTTGTGTTCATGATGAGATGCATCCATGGTTCTTTATGGAGGTGGCAACTGGCAAGAGATTTCACAGAAAATGCACGCGAGGCATCGAAAGTGGTGACTTCTGTCAATTTGTTTGCACAAAATAGTAATTCACTTTTAGAAAAAGAATTGTTTTGAGGTACTTGGAGGATACTCAACTAAAGCTTTGTCATAGTTTCATGGAGAATTAGTTTAGATTTTCAACCTTGTAGTTAGGAAACTTGAAAGTTTTTCCCTTTTAAATCTTCTGAGATTTCCTAGAATGACCTTGAAAATGTCGCTATTTTTAGTGTGGGGGAAGGGGGGGAGAGGTTTAAGAGTTTTACAAGGGAGGGATTGATAGTATGGTTATACTGCATGTTCTAGGTCCTTGACTGGTATAAATTGTTAAACCAGGTTCGAGAGAAAGGCTTGTAATTTTGGTTGATGATGGAAAAATTTTGTGAGGATTTTCAAATACATCGAAATGACAACATATTTATTTATTTCATTTTGGTCTCACTTTGGTAGTTGTGCCACTTCCTATTTAATTGTTTTAGTATCAAATTTTCAGCTAACTTAGCGCTGTTATTGGGAAAGGGAAATCAGAAACCTAAAAGTTTCCCTCATATGCACTGCATCATACTTGCATAGCTCTGTGTTGGTTGAACAGTGAAGTTGCAAATAATTTTTAAAAATACTTTTGTCTTAGAACCTAGTGGAAGTCTAATACTTGAATCATTTTTATTAGGTTACTTCACCATACGGTAACAACCTTTATCACCAAGAAAATGTCACCCATGGTCAATTCGCCTTCACGACAACTGAGTCTGGCAACTACTTGGCATGCTTCTGGATTGATAACAGTCATCAAGGAGATAGGAGTATGAGTGTTGGTCTTGAGTGGAAAACTGGAATCACTGCCAAGGATTGGGATTCAGTTGCAAAGAAAGAAAAAATTGATGTAAGTTTATCCTCAAAACTGTGGTCGTTATTTTATTAACCTGATTACAATAGCGGTGATAATAATATCCGTCTCTCTAAACACTTATGTCATATATTTTTTTTTCTTCCTCTACATTCTTGGGACAATTATTTTTTTCCTTTAGGGTCTAGAACTTGAGTTACAGAAGCTTGAAGGAGCTGTGGAAGCAATCCACGAAAATTTAATCTATCTGAAAGACAGGTAATTCACAGTTCAAGTATCCATTATGTTCTTTTCTTTATCATCTCTCCAAGAGTTGTTTTGCCTGATTATTATCTTTAAGTTCTTTAAATTTTGAATTTATTCTACTTCTTCGTCCTCTCATTATGCAGGCAGTTGTGTGCTGTCAATATGCCATATTTTTTTGGAGGATTAGGGGATGAAATTTATTTTGTTCAAATTTGCTATATAAATAGTCGACTATCTTTGTCAAATAGCTACTTATTATGTTGAGAACCGTGAGATCTTGGATTTAAATTAATGCAATTATTTCATGAAAGAATTTCGGAGATTTAGGCATTGAAACTGGCATTTCATGTAAGAATTTCAGAGGTTTAGGCCCGATTAACATACACCAAACATGATAATAGTGACGAACTCTTCTCAATAGAGTATAAACCACAGTTATACAACTACTTTTAGGATGAAGATTATTTTGTTTACTAGTTATTTTTTCATTTTATATTGCTTCCAAATAACTCTACATCTATTTCTGTTTTTTATAGAAAAGCTTCTAGAGGAAGTTGCATTTGGCCTACTTCCTTAAAAACTCTTCTAATCATGCCAAACACTTTTGAAAAAATTATTTAAACAGGTCCAAAAGCATCTTCTTATAATCTCATAAATAGCTTTTGGTGTATATTCCAGATATTGCAATATAATGAATCCTAATGAAGCCCCTTTTTCTTCAAGAATAGAATACGAATGATTTCTAGTTGGTTTTCAAATATTCAGTAGTAGGTAGATATTTTTTGAAACTCGTGTTTGGACTTTGTAATAATACCTTTTTATCGTTAAAATGCAACGGTAATTAATAAAAGTCAAACTGAATTACTTATATGTCCTTTTCGCTTGCAGGGAAGCGGAGATGAGGGAAGTGAGTGAGAAAACAAATGCTAGAGTGGCTTGGTTAAGTATCCTGTCCCTTGGTGTCTGCATTGTGGTTTCGATTTTTCAATTGTTGTATTTGAAGCGCTACTTTCAGAAGAAGAAACTAATCTAGAATTTTACTGTTCATTTTTTAAGGCTCTTAGATATTCCAATAACTCTATAATTTTGAAGAACACAGAAATTTTCCATACGTGCACTGTAGTGTTTGACCCTGTATTACTAGTGAATGCCTATTTCGTACTAAATTGAAGTTACTCTTGAAGTGGCTTGCATATTTGGTTGTTTATTAAATTATAATTTAATAGATTATGTTCTCGTTTGGTAGCAATTTTTCACCCCAAAAAATAAATTCTTTTTATCATTATTTCACTATTTGAACCGTCATTTTTTACTTCTTCACTCATAAGTGAGACACATTTTTCTCTCTAAAGGTCAAAATGTAATGACTCGGGTCTCTGTACGCAAGCCGTTAGCTTACGTACTATCCGCTTTGGGTGGGCATTGCGCCCACTTACTCCTCACGGCTTTCTGTTGTGTCTTTCAGGATTCGAATTCATAACCTTTTTCTTAAGTAAGATTTAAGTTGAATTTTGGTACCCATTCTCGGAACCCAAAGCAGACAGTACGTAAATTAGCAGCTTAGGTACAGAGACCCGAGTCGTTACACAAAAAAATCAATTCTCATAATTACTATTGAACATGTATTATGAGTTGTGGGTTGTATGGAATATATGGATAATAAATGAGTTGTAATTGTGGATCCTACAAATTGTGCCGATAAAAAGTATTATTCCAATTATTTTTTCCTAATCTGTTCCACCAATTCTTGCTGTATTAGGGTACGTGATTTTATTCACCTGAAGAAGACCCAAAAGTTGAACGTAGTGGTTATCAATTATTTCTTGATCGACAAAATTCGATTGGGACATTTTTAATTGATAAAAAGTTGTGCATTAGATAGATGGTACGTGTAGGACACATATTGCGTGTAATATTAAACAAAGTTAAATGGTGAAGATTTTAAAGGTTGAACCTCAACTTTGAGGGCCTCACCGTCTGGCTCCTAGAGTTTTGTGAGGAAGGTAAATCGTGAGATGTGCCCCCAACATGTCAGAAAACAAGAGTTATTTGTACACTGCGCCTACAAAGAGTCAAATTCCATATATCAGGAATCGAATCTCCACACTGCGGCTACCAGCTAAGATTTTAACTTTCTTTTAGATGGATAGCATTCATTGCATATTATGTCATTGGGAGGATAGACTCCTTAGATCAAGCATTTTCTTTTTCTCTTATCAAACAAGTGGATTGGTTATACTCATGTTAAGAAAATGCATTTGGCCCTTTTTACTGTAATTCACTACTCTTTGTTTTTATGAGCAGCTCAACGAAAACTGACCTTCACTTTTGGAATTCGATGACAATTCTGAAAAGACAGATGCAAATCTACACTCTATGTTTCCGAAGGAACCAAGTTTTTTTTCCCCCCCTCTTTTTCTTGACAAAAATAAGTGGCATAGTCAGCTCACTATTAGAAGATAGGATAAGAATTCAAGAAAGCAAACAATAATT